GCTATTGATAACAGGAACCGCATTGTACATCGTTGAGAGACTTCTTAAAGGTCAGGATATTTCGCTGATCTGAAACCACCCAGGTCAACTTTTTGTTTTTAAGAACATACGGCTTAGCGTAATCTTTGAAGCTGGTTCAAATGCAAAACTCAAAGCTGTCTTGTATGATTTTGGTCACCATGACCTCCGTAAGTTGAAACAAGGCCACTGACCTTTAATGAGCACTAATAATGTTTGCTTAAAACAGGTATCTGGGTTCTGGGCCGCTTTGGACACCAATCTGGAGTTTGACCTTGTTCGACCTTATTTGACCTGAAGATCATGACAAAGGAACCTCAAATTATGATACAGCTGAGTTCACGTACAGGCCATCACACGCTGGGAATTTGGTGTATCTAGCTTCTTCGATTTCTGAGATCTCAGGGGTCCCAAACTGACCGACAACCAACCGGCTACCTGGGCTCGTGTTAACCAGTATGCGCCAGAGATACTGCTGCTCGTGCTTCATTCATCGCTAGACTAGTTTTGTGTAGCTTTTCACGAATCACGATAAGCACGGGTCATGAAATTCGCAAATCCCACCCCCTCACCATAATCTTTCACGAAAGCTTTAGAGTTCGTATTTCTAGGGAAAGGAGTGAAAAGAATCGCGTTCGGTACGCTGTCAGCACACTTGGCAGTACCAACCACGGCCCAGCATGCTGCCTACGTGACGTTACGTAACCGCAAGGTGACGTGATCTGTGATGTCACGCGCCGACTGATGATACTGTCAGGATTGTTCGCCAGCCCGTCCGCAGGGAGAGCAAGCGCTACCAAAAAATCGTTCTGACAGAGCCCGCGTTCGATCTCTCGTTGGCGTGATTGTCAGCTGGAATGCGTGACGTTGTGCGTGCTGGCCGAGCGTTTGGTGTGTGGGCTGACAGGGAAACTTTTAAACTTTACTTTTTAAACTTTACTTTTCCCCTTTGCCTGTTAACTAGCGGAAGAAGCGGGGGTTTGATTTCATTGCTCTTGCGTTTGCGAGTTCAGTACGTGGGGTGGGGCACTTGTCTTTAATTTTGGGGAATACGACATAGGAAAGATAAGGAGGGATTTATACTCATGGGTGTAGGAACAGGGGGGGGGGGGCAGACGGGGCTATGCCCCCGATCCACCTTTCAAGGTAGGGGGGGGGGGGCAATGTTAACTGCCCCCCCCCCCCTCCCACTTTCCAGATTAAGGTCGTGTTTAGCTTACCTTTGCACTACATTAAACATAAATGCCGATGTACCTAGCTAACCAGCCATCTTCCTCAAGGTGCACCATCTTTTTCGTCCACTCATCGGCCATCGCTTAGTGTCACAACCGCAGCCCTGAAGCCGCGCGGCCTATGGTGACTGCAACGCTGGGTGTCGAGGCTGTCGTCGCCAAGATTTGCGAGCGAGCATGTCCCAGACCATATTACATAGCTGTTTATCAGTAATCAGTTGTGACTGAATCTTAAGCATTTTGAGACGAACATGGATTAGCCATGCTCATGCACATTTGGGACCCCTTTTCGTGTGTAATCTACGTTCAGGGAGTCCTCGATATCTCTGAAGAACGCAGAAAACATGGAACTGTAGTCTGTGGGACAATTATTGGACCCCCACGGAGATCAGGGATGTTGTCACGTCATCAAGGGTTCCTGTGCTGATTCGGGGCCAACTGCGCGGGTCAGAAGGCCTCCTGTGTCGATGAGGGGAACAATGTGATATGATATATCCCTCCAATGGCCTTCGGCTCGACCAGGAGATCCCACCCCATCTCGCCAGAATGACAGCCGGAAGACACTTCGCGAAGGGGCGGAAAAGGCCGCCAGCTACTTACCGGAAATGGTAATGTGACCCTGGTGTTCTGCTCAAGGGATCTTTGCCCGGGAGGGAATAAGGGGTCTCTTTATTGTTGAGTAGAGTGGGAGTCTCATTATTGTCGAAAAAAAGTAGGTCGAAACGGGTTAAAAAAAAACCAGCAAGGGCATCCCATGTTGCCTGAAACCGTTCATCTTTCAAAAATGAATTAGTAAGACAAATCACATCGAAGGGCTCGAACTGCCCGCTCGCAGCCTAGAGAGCAAGTATGATGATGGCCTAGGCTGCGGCTTCCGTAAGACCGAACGGCTTCGGCCACTGGAAGTGCCACCAGGCGGCGGGCAGTTCGTTTGTGTTCATTTATCTTCTGGACAGATGAAGTGGTGTTCATTTATCTTCTGGACAGATGAACAGTTACAGAAACACAAGACTAGAGATTCTACTTTTACTCTTCCAATTTCGCCACCGGATTCCGGCACCACTTCGCGGTGATTTGAGAACCAATCCGTTCTTATCATCGGTCTAAAAATTGTGCACGTGGAATATACGCACAGAGTGCCTTCTAAGTGTAAGATTTGATGTCCTTAAGTGTTCAAAAGTAGTTCTTTCGGAAGCATCATCATTTTTATCAATCCGTTGGCCACGGCTCAGCATTAACTGCGGGGCCAACGCCGTGCGGCCCACGGAGACCGCAACGCCTGGCGGCGAGATTTTTGTTACTAAGATTTGCGAGTGCGCACGCTCAAAATTACGTCACGTAGCCTGCATTACTAATCGATTGAAGTGTTTAAGGTAATCATCTCAGAACCGTTATCATTTCAGTTCACCGATAGGCCATAGCTAAAAGTTATCCACTGGGCTAAATGGCTGCGGATTATGGAGATTGCAACGCCCAGTGTCGAGGTTTTGCTTGCTATGATTTACGGGTGTGCATGTTAAAAAATCCTGTTACATGAGTTGTGCCACTGATCGATTCTGAGAGAATGTTGAATATTTTCAAACAACCATGGCTTGGCCATGCTAAAACACACTGTCGACCACTCGATCTGCAATCAAATTTTCATCTTCAAATTTGGATCAAACATGTCGATCTACAATCTACCTTCGCGATGTCCTCAATGTCAGTAGTACCGAGATAACAAAATTTTACAAAGCCTTTGAATTCTATCGGTTTAGAAAGTCAACTAACCATTGCAAACTAAGAGCGCCGGTGATTTCTTCCATGCAGTCGTTCAACGCCTGATTTCTGCAGGTTGTTGACTTCAAAATGCAAACAGAATTGATCTCACGGTAGCTTCTGGTTTCTGTTCTGTTTACAAGGTAAACCGAGTCCCTTGTTAGCAGGTAAGCTTTATCTGGGGATTTTTTTTCTGGGGGGGGGGGCGTATCATAAGAGGGGCTTTTTCAACCCTTTGTTCTGTCTCGACAGGTTCTGGCTACGCTCCTGCCTTGCTACAAATCGGATCAAATCGCTTACGCCGAATGATGGGCAATTAAATGTTCGTTGGGCCAATTCATACCCAGGGCACGCAGCTTCCCGGAGGCTTTTCCCTGTGGTGGTGTGGTGTACGGGAAGATAATTCGAAAAAGATACTGTTGTAGATGTTCAACATACGTTTTACACTTATCAGTAGTAATGCTGATCCGGAAATGTGCTACAAAGCAGCCATACGATCAGGTAGCAGTCAGTCATGCGGGAGACTGACGGGCGAAGGCAGTGGCCGTCCACGGAGAACGGCAGCAGGGCTCAGATAATGAGCATATGACGGCATGGCCTCCATTCCGGGGCTTAGTTTTTAAACGAGAATCTACGGTTTTATGGCCTTTGTCGCATTGTTTTTGGCAGCTTGAAGGTGCCGAACTTGTTTCCGCGTAAAACGCAGCGACAAGTCTTATCTCTTGAAAAGCAGGCAGCAAAATGAAGGCGTATGAAAAAATTATCGCTCTGTGAGCCTTCGATTCACTTTCAAAGTCCTCACCAGCCTGTGTCAAAGCCCTGTTTTGACATCTACCCTGTAGACGCAGATGCCCTTCAATGACCCAAAATGCCTACCCGTTGGTGGAATTCCGCCTCCCCACGAGAGACAATGTTGAAATGAACGAATAATTTTGGGAAGCTGGATAGCCTTATTTACCGAATGACATAGATGGGTCGAATAGGCAAGATTGTGCACAGTGAGAACAGCTCTAGATGCACATCTAGCATAGCAGCCATGACATTTGAATAAAGCGCGATAACTCCTCAATCTCCCCCCGCCCCCCCCCCCCCCCCCGGTCATGGGGCTTGCTTTCCAGAAAAGTTCCTGAAGTACGATCTGAGATTGCCCCTTCCCCCCCCCCCCCCAACAGGTTTGGAAACGTTCCTACGCCTATGATTATACCGTCAAGAAAGGCCAAGAAAAGGTGGGTTGCAGTAGGTGATGTGTGGCTACGTTCCCTAGTAAATGAAAAGCATTAGAGTAATCGTAAAAGATGGAGGACAGGAATAAAACATCTCGCGTCTCGGGCAAGGGCTTTGTAAGTACAAATGGGGACTCAATGAAAGGATTGGTTTCATGCCAGTGCGATATACGCGCGCTCTCACCGGTATCAGAAGACTGGCGTCCCGGTGACCGCTGACCGCGGCGGCAGGTCGGCCGACGCCTCCGGCGGTCGGCCACAGAGGCGCGCCCAGGCACGCTCAGGCGCGCGCACCAGTAACGCAATACACCACACCAGCACAAGTAGTCGTGAAGGATGGACAGAACGCTTCCATACAAAAAATGAGTAAACACTTCAAAATGAAAATAGAAGAAATCAGAATGAGGTGGAAATGGATAGAAACACGTAATTTACGAATGGAAGAGAGGATGGTTACATCGGAGCAGGATTCTTCCAAACACCACTTCATTTGTAGTGTGTCACAGATGGTGGTAAGCCAGGGTTCGTATGTAATCTTGAACAGTTAAAAGATCAGGTGAAAAGTAAAGTAAAGTTGACGAACTTCCCTTCAGCCAGCACGCACCAGGCCCTTCATCACGGAGCACATCACGGAGCACTTCCCTCTTCGTCTTTTTTAAGAATTCTTTCGTCTACGGTGGAACGTAAAGTTTCTTAGGATATGGGACCATAGTAACGCGTGTTTGTCTTTCTTGCGCCTATTTTGCAGCTCGGCTGTCAGCTGCCTTTTCTCAATGATGCGTGTTTTGCGTAAAGAATGGTCAGCTGCTTGGTAGATTCCGTCAGTGGTTGCTGCGGGCTGTTGGGTTGCCTGCATTCACAGTTGGATGGCGGTAGCTCATAAATCGTGGCTTATCCGTTTACTTGCGCTTTTTGTGTTAAGACAGCATTCGCGCCATCAGTGAACGACATCGAGAAGCTAGTTACGGGTGTTCTCATTGGCAACGTTTTGAATCCTGGGTCTAGATCAGTATTCAAGCCTTGCTTATTTAAACAAATTCTTTTTTGCATGCAGATAGTGTGGTATGTAGTACAGCTGCACTGAATATATATTTGCAACAATATCAGCTAGTATGTGTGCACTTAATGCTGTTGAAAATTGAAACAAACATTTGGCGTGGAACTATGCAGGGTTAGCATGCTAGGCATATGAAGTGAATTCAGATAACACCAAGCTACTATATTCAACATGACTGGAAGCCTGTCATCAAGAAAAATCAAGATGATTGTGTCACTTTGCTCAGCAGCAAATTTTATAAATGCTGCAGATCGAGTGCTCATGCCCATTGCTATCATACCAATGACTGATGAATTTGGGTGGACATTGCACTGGCAAGGCTGGATTTTGTCATCATTTGCCCTGGGATACTTGACCAGTCAGGTAAGTACACATAACTTTGCTTGGCATGGGCCCCATCACCGTGGTCACATCTTGGTGTATTTTGATGGTTGGAAGCATACTGCCCTGTTTTATGCATTATTTTTCAGTATTTGGGTGCAGTTATCTGTCAGTATTATTTTTGGTGGTGTGATAACAGGTAAGACATTTATGTACCAATGCCTGAACAAGGATGCACTCATTTCCTGTCACTGTATTGCATCCAGTATCTACATGTACATATCTTAGGACAATGCCTCTATTTTTCAGATCATTGGTGGGAGCCTGGCAACGAGAGTGGGAGGTCGCTCTGTTCTTCTGTTTGCTGTGCTGCTTTGGTCTCTGAGTACAGTGATAACACCACTGATAGCTCACTCCATCTCCGGGCTCATCATCTGCCGCATACTTCTTGGTCTTGGAGAAGGACTAGGTAACAAGGTTATGGTTTTTATTGTTTGTGTGCACATGCTGGTAGCTGCTTTTTCTTAGATTGTTGATGTGAAATTGATGTAATCACCACCTCATTGTACATGTGCTAAATACTGTGTGAGCATATTTTAAACAGATAATGCCATAAACAAATTCTAGAAGTCCTTGACATCTCTTAATCACTCTTAATCAGACAGGTAATTAACATATACTGGTTTGCCGCTACTGCAGCTTCATGGTAATATACAGGGCTCCCATGCTCATGATGTAGGAAATCCTTGTAAAACACATCATTTGGATTATTCTTGTTATCTGGTGTATTGGTAGATGTGCACAACTAACGCATCATGAATTATCCTTCCCAGTTAGCCCAGTTGGTAGAGTGCTGAACTTGCAATCAGAAGGGTCTAGCTCATATCCAGCATTTCCAAGCAGAGCATTTGGCTGCATAACATTTGAATGCATACCTGGCTGCAAGCAGGGCATCATTCAGCCATTCTTTGGACTCAATAATACCCGATGGTGGATGGAATGTTATCTGGATGAAACATTATGCGCATACTAATAAAGCAAGCAAGGATGATAGTATGACAAATTATTTCATATATAATCATACCCTCTCTGAACCCCTTTGTAAAGAATTGGCTGTGTCTGTGTTTCCATGCATAGAGAGTGGGCATGGCATGAGAGGGTATTGGGCATTTATAGGCATTAGTCTGCCTGTGTGGGAGTATGAACTGTTAGTTGTTTTTTTTGTAATAGAGATGTAATCCCTGTGCTCAAAAGGTATAAAGACTGGATCAAAATGGTCCAATGCCAACCATTTGGTACCTACGTGCACACAAATAATGTGTTTGAGGTTATTGATGGGTTGCTCTGAATTCAGACATTTTGTTAGCAATGTCCATCCTGCATCATGGCAATACTTAGGCTTGTTGCATTTTGTTGTGGCATGCCATAACTTCACAATAGATTGCACCCTCTGCAGTGATGCTGGAGCGGTTCACTACTCACTCTGCTCAGGGCTTGTTGCCGCTGACGGGTGGGGCTGTGCCGTAGGCTTACCGACCATCTTCCATGTCTACGCGCACCACGTGCCGGCCGAGGAGCGCTCCAGGGCGTTCGGCTACCTGATCGCGGCCGGGGGCGCAGGCCAGACGGTGGCCGCCGTGGTGAGTGTGTCTCCATTCCTTCCTGGTCCCACCAGGGTCTCCATCCTCCCAAGGGACGTGTGGGGTTCCCGTCTGACCGAAGGTGGCTGATGGGTTTATCTGCTCCTCTCCAGTCCGGTCACAGTCTCCATCCTCACTTGGGGCGTGCGGGGTCCCCGTCTGACCGGAGGTGGCTGGTGCGGTGATTGTGTCTCCACTCCACCCGGTCCTTCCGTAGGGTCAGGGTCACGGGGGCGGATGCCATCACAGGGCAACGGGACACCTGTACAGGTCATGCCTGCAAAGCCACTTGAGACGCTTGTGAACATGAGCGCCGCGGCCGCCCGCTCATCGAACCGCTGCCCGTGTAGCTGAGGTGGCTTGTGTCGGCCCGGGCACGCTGGTCGCTGCAGCGCGGTGAGTCATGTGCGCCACCGGCCGTGTGCCGCGGCCATAAGCCGCCGTGTGCAGGATGACCTGGGCTCTCGTGCTCCAGCTGTGCCCGCACCTGCCCTGGAGAACGTCGTTTATTCTACTGGGCCTGCTGGGCCTGGCCTGGCTGCCACTCTGGTGCCTGCTGTACCCCAACAACACCGACTCGGAGAGCGAGGGTTTTATGTCTCGGGTGAGTGGGCGCGCGCCGGTCGCCCTCCACCGCTGCCAGCAGCACGCTGGCTGGGCCGCGCCTTTACATCGCGGCCAGATCGCGACGTCGGTCAAAACGCGTAACCGTCCTGACAGCTCATGGAGCTCCCCTCCGTGAGCTCAGCGGTTTGCTGGACGTGTTTCACCCGTTGTGTGGTACGCTGCGTGGTATGCTCGCGCACAATGTAGACGGACTTGTTACGCGATTGGGTTCGTCGGATGCGCTGCGCCGTGCCTGGACAGATGACCCCAACTTGATGATGCATGGGCGTACGTGGTCACGCTGGGGTCCATCAAGGCCTTGCCCAAAATGCACTGTCAGCGATGGTCGGGGTCGTGGAGCTGCCTTCTCGGCGTCGTTCTGGTGCTGCACCCCCCCCCCCCCCCCGTACGTGACGGATCAGTGACGCCGGTGCACGCGCTGTCGCGCGGGCGTGACCAACGGTTGACTCTCACTCTCGCCAGTCGGGCTCGGACAAGGTGCGCTGGGTGGAATTTATCAGCCACTGGCCGCTCTGGGCCATCTACATCGCCCACTTCGCCATGAACTGGAGCAATTACATCATCATGCACTGGCTGCCAACGTACCTGTCGCGTACGCTCGGCGCCAACACCGAGTCTATCAGCCTGACGGCCGTGCCCTACATCGTCAACTCGGCCGTTGGCGTCGGTCAGTGGCTCTCCAGGCGGCGGGCGACACGCGCTCCAACGCCGCTTACTGGTCGGGTCACCAGTGGTGCCAGGCCACTTGTGCCCGCCCGCCCGCCGACCCCAGCTCTCCGCACCGACGCTGGGCGGTTATGAGCCGGTGGAGATCGCTGACGAGGCGACTTGGCCGCTCAGCGTCCAGCACCGTGGTGTTCAGATGCTCAGCCAGTGATGGACCCATACTGGGAAGGATTATTTTGGGGGTGCGGGGCGGGGTCAGGTGTGCTGCTCCTCACACTCGGACAGTGCAGGCTGACGGCATATAGCTTGATGGCTCGCTTATTGATGGTTGGCTGGACACAGGTGGGGAGGGTGGCGGCAATGCTCTACAACCACTCTTGAAGCATGCCTTTATTTACGCATCCCCTTCCCATCGGTGTTTGGGGACGTTGCCTTATCTGGCTCAGTTCCGACCCGCTCGCCGGATGCCAACAGACGCCGTGTTGCGCCGTCGTGTCGCGTTGTGTTGTGTGCGTGCGTGCGTGCGTGCGTGTGTGCGTGCGTGTGTGCATGCGTGCGTGCGTGTGCGCGTGTGTGTGTGTGTGTGTGCCCGCCGGCTGACGCCACTCCCCCTCCCCAGCGGCGGGCCACCTGGCGGACCGGCTCATCACGCAGAAAAAGTGGACGGTGCTGTCGGTGCGCCGGCTGATGACCACCATTGGTCTGGTGGGGCCGGCCGTCTTCCTCGTCCTCTTCTGCGCCGTTAATAACCTGCCGGCGGCGCTGCTGTGAGTGAGCGGCGCCGTCGGACACCGCCGCCGCCAGCGCCGACGGCCTGACGAGCCGGCGATGGCTGTGGGCACGGCTTGGAAGTTAGCTGGAACGTGACAGTGGCGGGTGCTGTTGTGGTGTCGGACTGGCGGGTGCAGTGTGTGCGCGTTCGTGGCCTGAATGGAGCACGCGATTTGGCGAGTTGTTGGTCCCGGTATGCACGTCTCTGCTGCCGTCTCAGGCGTCTGGAGGCTATGTCAGCCATCTGGAAGCAGGGTGTTTATCTGCTTCCGCCCGTCTTATGCCTTCAATTTCACATGATTGCAGTCTTATTTGTGCCTCACACGTTAGCACCGCCGCGCCCATGCGTTCTGGTCCCGTGTGTCGCCACCTCGCCGCTCCCCCGTGACGGCCGGCAGCCAGGCAGAGGGTGACGTCAGGGCGCTGTGTGACGTCACGCCGACGCCGTTTCAGTCTGGTGTCGATCGTGATGGGCTTCTGCGCCTTCAACTCGGCCGGCCACCTGAGCAACCACGCCGAGGTGGCGCCCAACCACGCCGGTGTCACGTTCGCCATCTCTAACACCCTGGTGAAGGGCGCCGGCCTCCCGGCCCACGCGCGCTCCGTATCTGCGTAGTCACTTATTAAGTTTATTTCGATGAGCCATTCACACATATTGTGTCACTTCTCAGCCAACGTCGTGTGACGTAAAATACCGTTATACCTTGACTCAGCTGAAATTTGTCTGATTCTTGAGTCGACTTTGACTTCGTGCGCAGCGTTGCACAAGTCTTAAAAGCATCGGGAACTTAGGCATGCATTGTGCTAAATGACGTGATGTCTCTTATAATTAGTCTTAATTCTGCACATAGTATAGGAACACGACCACGTTCGCGGTTTGTAAAAAGGTGTGATTGTTAACAGTTTGTGCATATCCGTATTATGTAATCCGTTAGTGATGTGTGCTGTTCGGTTGTATGTGTGTGCCAGTCTGTGGCGCCATCTGTGTGCGCCTGTGTGCCGTGGCATGTGACGTATCTGTGTGCGCGTTGTGACGTGGCATGTGACATATCTGTGTGCGCCTGTATGACGTGACATGTGACGTATCTGTGCGCCTGTGTGACGTGACATGTGACGTATCTATGTGAGCCTGTGTGACGTGGCATGTGACGTATCTGTGTGCGCCTTGTCATGTCATGTCATTGGGGCTTTACGACGCACTCAGCTGCTGAGGCTAAATGGCGTCGCCTGCCTCTCACCCTGGCAGGAAGGGCGGGCGCCGCCGGGAATCGAACCCCGTACCTTTGGTTTTCCAGACGCTCAGTGGTTAAGGCAGACGCGTTAACCACTACACTGCCGGCACCCCCTGTGTGCGCCTTGTGACGTGGCATGTGACGTATCTGCATGCGCCTTGTGACGTGGCATGCGACGTATCTGTGTGAGCCTGTGTGACGTGGCGTGTGACGTATCTGTGCGCGCCTGTGTGACGTGACATGTGACGTATCTGTGTGAGCCTGTGTGACGTGGCATGTGACGTATCTGTGTGAGCCTGTGTGACGTGGCATGTGACGTATCTGTGTGAGCCTGTGTGACGTGGCATGTGACGTATCTGTGTACGCCTTGTGACGTGGCATGTGACGTATCTGTGTGCGCCTTGTGACGTGACATGTGACGTATCTATGTGAGCCTGTGTGACGCGGCATGTGACGTATCTGTGTGCGCCTTGTGACGTGGCATGTGACGTATCTGTGTGCGCCTTGTGACGTGGCATGCGACGTATCTGTGTGCGCCTGTGTGACGGTGTGGCGGTCGTCCTTCTGCGCAGGCCACGATCCCCGGCATCCTGTGCGGCCCAGTGACGGCCGACCTGGTGACAGCCTCGCAAGGACGCTGGTTTCCGGTGTTCGTCTTGGCCGCCGCCGTCAACCTGGTGGGCGCCGTCGTCTACTACAGCCAGAGCTCGGCGCTGCAGGTATGTCTGCTACATCCAGAGCTCGGCGCTGCAGGCATGTCTGTTACAGTCAGAGCTCGGCGCTGCAGGTATGTCTACTACAACCAGAGCTCGGCGCTGCAGGTATGTCTACTTCAACCAGAGCTCGGCGCAGGTATGTCTGCTACAGCGAGAGCCCGACGCTGCAGGTTTTGTCTGTACAGTCAGCCGGCGCTGCAGGTATGTCTGCTACAGCCAGAGCTCGGCGCTGCAGGTATGTCTACTACAACCAGAGCTCGGCGCTGCGGGTAGGCCTACTTCAACCAGAGCTCGGCGCAGGTATGTCTGCTACAGCGAGAGCCCGACGCTGCAGGTTTTGTCTGTACAGGCAGCCGGCGCTGCAGGTATGTCTGCTTCAGCCAGAGCTCGGCACAGGTATGTCTGCTACAGCGAGAGCCCGACGCTGCAGGTTTTGTCTGTACAGTCAGCCGGCGCTGCAGGTATGTCTGCTACAGCCAGAGCTCGGCGCAGGTATGTCTGCTACAGCGAGAGCCCGACGCTGCAGGTTTTGTCCATACAGTCAGAGCCGGCGCTGCAGGTATGTCTGCCACAGTCAGAGCTTGGCGCTGCAGGTATATCTACTGCCCAGACTTGTCTACACAGTCGGAGCTTGAAACTACTGTTGACTGCTACGACGAGAGCTGGGAAGCTGAGCTGCCGCAACCAGAGCTGTTGCCGTCGTTGGGTCTGTCTCCTCCAATGCGTGTAGAGCTGCAGCCGTTGTACACACGCATTGTCCGCGATTTGTCTGTGTTGTTGGAGTACAGAAGCAACTGTGAGATTGTGAGGGCTTCGGGTGATTTCTCCGGGAATTGTGGGTTAAGCTGCGATTGGTATGCGTCGTATCCCCGCTGTCGGGTCTGCGCGGTCTGTTTGTGATCGGCGCATGACCTGTTCAAGCTGTGTGGTCCGCATGGCCTGTCCCCGCACTGAGGGTACAGGGCAGGCCCGTGGGTGTGTGATCTGACGGACCCGCCCCGACCCCGCATCGACCCCGCCTCGACCCCGCCTCAACCGCGCATCGACCCCGCCTTGACCCTGCCTCGACCCCGCCTCGACCCCGCCCCGACGCCGCCTCGACTCCGCCTCGACTCCGCCCCGACCCCGCCTCGACCCCGCCTCGACTCCACCCCGGTCCCGTGCCGGCCACGTCCAGACCACGTCCAAACCCCGCCCGGCTGCGTGGTGTGTGTGCTCTGCCGTTGTCTCCGGGTACAGCCGTGACCGTTCTGTTTGCCGTTCCAGCTTCTGGGGTTGCAACGGTACTCGTTCCTGGACCGGGAGCGGGTGTGACGAGAAACTGCCAGCCTCGCCGCTCGCCTCTGCCTCCCCCGCTGTGATTGCGAGTATTCGGCTCGGTAGGGTCGCTATGTATCCGGCCGCGCGCGTGCCGGCCTGCCGTCGCCGCGTGATCTGTGGTGCTGGGGAGCATCTCGCCCCTCCGACCGTTCCCCTCCCCCCGCCTCCCCCCTTCCGTTGCGGGCGAACTGTGAACACCAGATCTGACGGGCCGCCGCTGGTGGCCACCGGAGCCGTGTGCGGCGGTAGCTGGGCCTTCGACTGCCCGGCCGGCACGGGCGGCCAGCGCGACCTATTGTGATCCTACTGATGGGCGCCAAGTGGCATTAGGGTATCCCACTGGCCAGAGGATGTGGGCGTCCGCACCAGAAGTTCCCATAAACGCGCGTGTCCGTGCGGGAGTGAAAGCCCGCTGGAAGGGCTCACCTCAGCAGTCTATGTGCGGGGACGGTTGGCTGCCGGGCTGGGGAAGTGTGGTGGCTCATCTTCCCGGAGCAGACCCCGAGCAACACTTGTCATATTTACGGTCGGGCAGGCAGCACCGGCGATGTGTCGCTCTCACATTGTGCTGTGTAGGTATTCTGACTTGCGTCCAGTGTGGCTGGGCGGGGCTGTACCGTCAATATTGCTAGACGTTAGTGGTTGCCAATAAAGTAATTGATATGTTTCGCCTGTTTTAAAGCGGCGTGTGGTTGTGTCAAGACAAATTTAGATAGCCTCATATGGCGCACCATAATTTTGTTGAAATTGCGGGACTTTATCCTGCTGGAAATATGCTAGCGTTTGTTCACATTATCATAGGGACCAGATCCTGGCAGAAGGTGGACAGCAGCTGTAGCTGAGCCAGAAGCTGCAAATGATGTGATTCGAGATAAAACAGGACCTAATACGGTTATGCACTGCGACAGTTTGCGTACTCCTGACCAACTTCTAGCAGCCCCATTTTTACATACCTGCTGGCTCGGAACGGTCGCGGACCCAGCGTTGCAGCTGTGTTCAGGGTTGCTGTAGTGAAGGTAATGTGGAGCGCTGGAGTGTGAACGGCGGCGCCGACACCGCTGCCGCCGGCGAAGCACATCAGCCGACTAGCCACGTGCCGCCTGCCATATTTCGCAGCGATCACCGATTGTTCGGATTTATTCTGGTGATCGCAAGCGACGTACGTTAGCCCTCGTTTGCGGCATATAATGGGACCAGCGCGGCAAGCGTCTGCCCGGAATCACCCCTGCGGAGGTGTTTAAGGCTCTTTTCAAGACTAAGACGATGCCGGCTGATAGCGTAAAGTGATGGCACCCTTGCACAGGTACCTTTCTCGGCTTTCTCCTGAACTGTAACGCGACAAACGAGGAAGTGCGTCAGAGCTGCTACGCAGAACAGTTCGCTTTGCCAGAGCATAACTGACGTCCTTGGCCTGACTGACGGGACCGAAGTTTGCATCCCAGCGCGAGGGGCTGCACTAGACAGTGGAATACAGCTGGAGATATGCCACCCAATAGTGCTCGCCAGTCCGATGAAAAGACGGAAAAGGCTGAAAAGGCGGAAAAGACGAATAATTTCGTCAAGCGAGCTCTGGCTCCGGAACACAGTATTGTCAGCGACAAGCAAGCAGCGCAGCTTCTCAAACAAGAAAATGTTGTGGATGTAGAGCGGTAAATAAGGGGAATTTGCAGTGTATGGATGCGGATCGATAACGTCCCTAGTGATCTGACCAGGCCTTCGGACTAGCTATGGTGTCTTAGCTAATGAGATAGTACTTGCACACTCGGGTTGCAATAGTCGCTAGTGCGAAACGAGCTCGAGATATTCCGGGGACCTTACAGCGTGCTTTACCGTGTTCGACTGTCGCCCGCCACGCTGGCGCGGCTCATGGGTTCGCGGTTTGGCTGCTGCTTTGTGTGGCCGTGTCGTGGTCGAGGTGCGTTCCCGCCCGCAGGCTCCTGGTGGAGTTCCTGCAGTACCCAGGATCCAGCCACGATTGGCTTCAGCAGTGGGAAGTGGACTTCTACACCAATGGCGTGACGGAATTGCTCGGCACCTCGCTAGCACTGCCACCTGGCGGCAACCGGCAACGGTATACGGGCAGTCAACTTGCCATGGCCATCACCACCATGAAGTTTGCATTAGCATTTTACAGAGGTACGTGGCGTGACAATTTTCATGGTGAAGGAGCTCTGCAGATTTAAGCTCACAACACGATTAAAGTATTTAATTGTGGTTCATTGTTAAAGCCAAACTGAGGCCATAATACACTTGCACAAGTTCACTTGTAAGTGAGCAAAGGAGTACAAGTACATTAAGTGTGCATTAGCAGTAACTGTGCAGTCGCGATGCTTATACTGCTTACAGGCATGCAGCTGGATAAGAAGCACGTCTGTAGTTGTGGTGTGGCCAAGCTCCCAGATCCTGAGCAATGTTGTAGAACTGTCAAGTGAGCAACAGCGGTGGGGAGAAACTGTTAGGCGCACAGTGTTTGTGTATGAAGCCTGCATGTTTGCAGCAGTGGTTGGCTGTTGTCACGCACGCAATGGCAGTTTTCTGCTAGTGTGGGTTGTGAAGCGGTAGTGTTATGACGTCATTAAGTGTACACTGACGTCACGGTACGCCGTCGGCCCGCTGCCTCAGACCAGCCTCTGCTGGACAGCGCCAAACAGCCGGATGACGTATGCCGTCTGCTCGAGCAGCTGGAGACATGGCCGTCCACCAACAGACCACTGCTTAACACCGAGCAGCTGGATAGCCTCGGGGACTATCTCTCCAGAATGTACGTCTGGCGCCGCGCTCCGGGAAGGAGCTGTGCTTATCTAGAAATTTTGGAATTTCTTGGGAGAAGCTTAAAAATGTGGTCTGTTACAGAGTCCATCATGACGTAAGCTAGCTCGTGCTAGGCATGTGCCTGGTTCCGCCCGTGTGGAACTGATTCGCGTGGGCGAAAATGCGGCATGCGGCTCGACTTTAGCGGGTGGGCTAATTCCGATTCAGACGGTGAACGGCATGGTGCAAGTTTGACCCTACTCCTATTTTGACTCAAGCTCATTTCCGGAATGGATTTTGATTGAGCTGATTTATGTGGGGGGAGTTTACCCGACAAACCAGGCTTGAGCTGACCTAAAAGCCCGTGCACGACATAACTTTTGTTGCGGGACAATTACTCCTCTCTAGTGCTCCACTTACCGCACGCTTGAGTCCCTAGGATAATAATTTCGATTGTTACTTGCGGTTCCATTTGAGTAAGCTCATCTCTCTGAGAACAACCAGTACAAATAATTCAGCTCCCACTCAAAGTTAACACTTTCAAAGAAATTCATTCATATCTGACTCATCACAAATTTGGCTCATTCTTCAGTCGACACAGACTCCATTCGGAGTTAGCCGAGACCAACGGCTACCCGACTCCCACCGTCCTGACAAGCGTTATGGCCCTGCCAGCCTGGATGCCCTGTTGACCCCGTCTCCAACCCCTGTCGGGCAGCTTCGGAAACTCGTTCGTGCGCCAGCTGTTGCTGCGACCGCTGTTCGAGACACCGTACCGGCTGGAGTGGAAGCTGAACCGGCCGCTGACGCTGCGCGGCGTGTCGCCCGAGCCGCCACCCGAGCGCGGCCAGGCCAAGAAGGCTAAACCGAAGCCAAAGTCGAAAAAGAGGGGCAAGAAGAGCGCGCCACCACCGCCCGAGGAGCCGACGCACGAGGTGGGCGTGCAGCTGCGTCCGCCCGGTTACCTGCCGCTCCGGCTGGCCGCCCCGCTGCCCGTGCTCTACGAGCTTTACACCGGCGAGGTGTACGACGAGGAGGAGATGAAGAAGAAGAAGAAGAAGGGCAGGAGGAAATAGGCAATGGGTGTACGGCGCTAGTCGAACGTGGCTAGCGGGGGCTCCGTAGGCGCGCATGGGACCAACAGGAACACAGGATTTGAGCCGAATAATAGATGTGCAGTTTGATCCGTGCGACGACACCTGCAGCCAGACCGCGGGGGTGTCGTGGCGCGTACCAGTCCGGGCCCCGGCCTTTGCATCAGGTGAGGATCATACCCTGCTCCGAGGATTCCACTACCGAAGACGCACGAATCAGACAAATCTGAATATTTTAAGATCCATTGTTTACCTCAGCTGAAAGCATCGCTGTTACACCACACCACGAAAATCTCAGGGATCCATGGACCACGTGGCATGCGAGTTGCGCTGAAGCTGCTGACAGCCAGGCTGCAGTTATCCTCTGGCCCGCTAGATGGCAGTGTCGTTAATGCCGACCGATTTTGCCGCCCGCATGAATCAATAGCTACATCAGGATGGTGGTCGCCGTGTGTAGTTTCCACTGGCTCAGGCATGAGTGAACAGCAATGAGGCCCGGCCACCAATAAGACTTCAGTCGTCGCGCAGGTGAGCCGGGCCGGCAGCGGGGCCTCTCGGCCGAATGGCGCGGCCGGCGCGCCCAATAAGAGGACCGAACTGGGCTCAGCTGAACCACCTCGTCAGCTGACTGATGCAGCTTCGTGGTTCGCTCTCGGTCCGGGACCACCGAAAATAAAATAAAAACACGATAAAAGGAGCCGAGCTGATTACGCTGCAGTTGGTACTGAAAATATGGTCGGATCAAGTGTTACGTCTTTGATGTGACTCGGCTGGCTGTTCGCGGCTGCTTTTGCTGGGGCCGTTGCTGCAGACGAATTTGTCGAATCAACACTGGCGGAACGGCTTGTGTTCCCCCGGCAGCCGATGGCTGCACCCTGACGCCGCCGGTGAAAGCCGCCGGCAATGGCATGTGTAGCGCAGTAAACAGAGACGCGTCAGAGACCGCTGCACTGCAGACGAGGTAGATGATCCGTGGGATGGCGCTAGAGTCAAACACACATCGCTAGGCATGAGGCATTATAAAAGGGAATGTATGGCCGAAGAATTATGGCGTTAAGTCCGTCGTCTGGATCCATAAATATCGCTCTGTCACGACATAACTTAAACTTGGTGCCGTTGCAGTTTTCTGTCCCGGTCGGACAGATATAGCTTGGGAACAGCACCACCAGTGGGCTTCAGGTACTATGCTTAGACCAAGTCAATGGTTGTCAAAAACAAAACGCTCTTGCGCAAATAAGCCAGCTGCTCTTACCCATCATAAGCGACTACGTTCGGCAGCAGACGCAGCCTACAGTGGCATTGACGCCCGGGGACATTGGGTGGAAGAGCTTATTGAGCTGTTGATTGCAGGCGGCATTTTATGTTTGGATCTCGCAAATAAATGTGCTAGACAGAACAGAAGACTTAGAAAAGGATGATATGTGAAGATCGCAGAGCCTTTAAGATTTATTCGTAACGGTCGAAAGCTGACTTTTATGCTTCCAAAAATCGAGAAACGCAAGCAAACAGAAAAACACGCTCAAACGTTTTAAGTTCTTGGGCCGGTGGGTCGCTCAGCCAAATGAGACTCGAGACCTCGCTTCAAATACTTAGTCGGTTTTCAAAGAACTAAGCTGGAGCTTTTACTTTTCCAAGAAAATGTCCATCATTCTCCACTATATTCATGCTCGGTGTTACTTTGAAAGGAAGAAAGCTCGGTAGCGGATTCGTCCTTGGATCTCTTCTGAGAACCTTCAAGTCGCACAGACTACTCATGCGTCGTTTTTCACCTAATCCGCCTGAATGCAATGGAGCTGAATCTGGTTGAAGCCGTGGCCCGCTGCCTTGAGCAGCGGCCCGCCCGCGTCGAGCGGCGCTGCGGCGGTGGTGACGGTGTGCCGCGGAGGGCAGCCTGCGTCGAGCGGCGCTGCGGCGGTGGTGACGGTGTGCCGCGGAGGGCAGCCTGCGTCGAGCGGCCCTGCGGCGGTGGTGACGGTGTGCCGCGGAGGGCAGCCTGCGTCGAGCGGCGCTGCGGCGGTGGTGACGGTGTGTCGCGGAGGGCAGCCTGCGTCGAGCGGCGCTGCGGCGTTGGTGACGCCGTGCCGCGGAGGGCAGCCTGCGTCGAGCGGCGCTGCGGCAGGGGTGATGACGTGCCACGAAAGGCGGCCCGGCCCACCGGTGTAGTGCGCACGCTGGCCGTGGCGTGATGAAGTTCCGTCAGCCGCCGCGGGCGGCGCGTGACGCAAGCGGCGCGCCACCACTGCTCGAACAGCGCTGGGTCCGGCAGGCAGCGCTTGGTAACACAAACAGGCCTGGACGCTCAGCACACCGTTCTGGGATGATCGGGTGTGTCCAGATACACGATTTAGCGGCGGTAAGCGGCGAGACATGTATGCATGCGTGATGTTTTTGAGAACGGTCTAAATGTTTATGGCTTAAAATGAGTAAGAATCTGTCTTCTCAGAGCGAGGTTTTAAGCAGGTACCCAAGATTGTCATTTCCTGAATCCACACGTGCACTGTATCTACTGCTGCGCGCCGTAATGCAGTGCATTTGTCTGACGACCCGCATTATCTCGAACTAGAGCTCAGCCCTCCAAATGATAACACCGGCAGAGAGTTAGCACCGCGTCGACAAAGCGCCATATGAGCTCGGCAATAGCCGGCGATAGCTTGCTCGCCACGGGAGATAATTACGACGCATCCCGGGGCTGCAGCTGGAACGACCAATCCCATCCTGCCGCCGTAAACGCTTTATCTATGGGTTTATGGACCGGAGATGTCTCGGGCTGCCGGCGCGGGCGCCCTGCTAGAAAATGGTGGCGCTGGGCAGGTCTGGCGCCAGGGAAGGTCGATGATTGGGAGGGGTGGTACTGGGGTCGGACGGTGCTAGGAGATGTCGGTGCCGGAAAAGGTGGGAGGATTGGTGATGGGAGGAAGTAGTGCTGGGAGTGAGTGATGGTGGCAAAAGACGGTACTAAGCAAAAGCTCTTCTAGGAGGTTGAATGCTTTTAGGGAAGGGGCAAGGAATTATGCTTTAGGGGGGGGGGGGGGGTTAGCCCCGATACGGGTACAACTCCTTTCTATGTAGGCAGGTTGTGCTCGGGTAGACTGGTGCTCTGGAGGTCTGGCATTGGTGGTGTCCATTGTTCGGTTCCTAGCTGGGAGAGTCCGACCTCAGCGCCGTCGACAGCCGCGACCGGCACTAATGACCCGATCCACTCATATAGAGCCGGCCGCCGCCTCTTGGAGGACCGCCAAATTCTATTGATCGCCCCGAGGCCGGGCGAGCGGGGCGTCTCTCCAGCGGCCCGGCGCCGGGCAGCCCGCGGTAGAGCAGAGGCCCGGGGTCACACAGAGGTCCAGGACGGAGCGGAGGGCCGCGACAGAGCAGAGGCTCGAAACGACATAGAGTTTCAGGACAGGGCAAAGGGCCGGGACAGGGCTTAGGCCTTGTCAGAGCAGAGGCCCGAGGCGAGAAAGAGGTCCAGGACAGAGCAGAAGGCTTGGGCAGTGCAGAGACTCAGGACGGGGTACAGCACCGGGACCGAGCGGGGGTTGGGAACAGAGCAGAGGCCCAGGCAGAGCAGAGACCAAGGGCAGAGCAAAGGGCAGGGACACCATAACACCGCCTTAACGTCTCAAATCAAGACGATGTCTTACGGGCTAGATTAGAGTCTGCCTTATGACGAGAGGAGTTTCGCGACCTACTTTGGTTCCAATCTGACTGAGATCGCGGGTCACCGACTGCCCTCCGGCTCTGCAGTTTGGCTCTCCCGTGGGTGCAATAGGTCTCCGGTCATGCCGTTCGAGTTTCTCGTGACTTGCTCGATGCCTTAGATTGGGCACCGAAGTTGTTAATAGCCATGAGTGGAATATTGAACTTAAATTGTGAGCGATGTGGGACGTAGACGGGGCTAAATTTAGTTGTGCGGTTCCAATGAGCCGGAAGTGCATTTTGGTTGTAAATACCTTCGCTGCACGTTCTCAAACATAAGCTGAATATTTCAGGCATTGGGCGTTTTGTGTATACGCTCCGGTCAAATCTTACGTTGACCATAGCCAACATAAACTGCATATAGGCCTTTCGAGACCCTGACGAGGTACGGAAGGAGCATACCTTAGTCATTGCTCAAACTGCAGATTTTAGAACTCAAATTAGGAAGGTGAGATCCGCCCCTTGGTTTTTTATATCTCTATAGCAGCGGAGCTATCATATGTGATGTTTGTCTTTCTTCAGCTGCAAAACCCATCGTTACAAAATTTAAAGCAGTCAAAATTCTCAAAAGATTGGCTGACAAGGCCTTTATGGTCGGTTCTTTTGTAAATGTCATCAATTCGCTTGCCTACGGCTACTTTTATTAACTTACAGCCAAGCTGCATTTACTCTTAGCCCGCTAAAGTTTTTAAGATTGCAGAACAGGCTTGCCCTTTCTCCAGGGCACAACACTTTTAGAAACCTTTCATTACGTATTCTACGGTATTTTTGACAGATTGACCGAGCGACCTGGGTCTTAGACCATGCTCACAACGGAAGGTTGACATTGTTGAATCGTGTCGGCTATGATAGCAAGCTTATATTAAAGCTGATGGTCCAATACAATAGTGTTGTTTTACCGGCATGTGCAGGTGATGCGTTTGTAAGTGACAGCGAAGTGCGTGATAACCAAGCCGGCAGAATTAGAACCTGCGAGAGGGTAGGTGAGATCTGATGCTGTGCATGAGCCCAGACGATGAGGACACCCTTGAGCTTTTTCGAGGCAGCATAAATGTATGTTTGAGGCCTACGTGATGCTCTTGTATACAAAGTACATGGAGTATTTTCCCTGTGAGGATCTCACACGTTGCGGTCTGGTGGAAGCCAATGGAGATCGGGGTATGCCTCAGCGACTTACGCGAAAACCGTGAACGATCAGTCCAGTTTTACTTTCGCTAACTTTCAGACCCTCGGAACTGAAGCAAGTATTTAAAGAAACTCCGTCCCTACAGCTTAGATCATTAGAGGGCCTGTCTTCAAATTCACTCATCCGCGACGAGGTAGGTTCGAGTAGCCTCAGGAGCTCGCTAATTGCACCTGACCGGGATGGCCTGCGGCCGGTGGCAGCGGTCCCAGTAAAAGTCAGGTGACGTCACAGCGCAGGATGGACCGTGCCGAGCGTTGCGGCACACCAAGTTTTCGTCGCAAAATTCTGCTGTTGACCAGGAATTTCACGATCGGATGGAGCAGTCAGGACTCTTACAAGAAGCCCTTCTCTTAGCGCGGGCACTGATTCCGAAAACCCATTCAATCAAAAAGTGTTGACTACATTTCAAAAGAACTAGGGCGTGTTTCATGCTAGCAACATTCTAGCAACATTCAGAGGAAGAGAGCGCTATTGCCAGAAACTTGAGTCTGGGCATTGCCTGCGTACCGATCTACGTGAGCTGTGAGGGCATGGAGAGATAGACCACTGACAAACTTTTAAAAGGGCAAAATAATGCAGTTGGGAAGACCTCGTCGGGAATGACAATGAAGTCTGGACAGTTGTCGGTGAGGGATCGGTTAACGGC